CACACACACACACACACACACACACACACACACAAACACACACACACACACACACACACACACACACACACACACACACACACACACACGCACGCACGCACGCACGCACGCACGCACACACACACACACACACACACACACACACACACACACACACACACACACACACACGCACACACACACTAGGAAACAAAAGGCTGGCATACCGAAAGGGAAATTATGAGGAGATGAGAAACTTCCTAAGGGAAATACCTTGGGACACAGTCCTCAGAGCTAAGTCTGTACAAGATATGATGAACTATGTCACCCAAAAGTGTGAGGAGGCAGTAAACATATACATCCCGGCCCAAAAGGAAAAATCCGAGAAGCAAAAGAAGAATCCATGGTATAATAGGGCATGTATGGAAGCAAAGAAACTGAACAAAAGAGCGTGGAGGAACTTCCGGAATAACAGAAAGCAGAGAGAGATACCAGAGAACCAGGAATGAGTTTGTCAGGGTGAGAAGAGAATCAGAGAAAAGTTATGAAAATGATATAGCAAACAAAGCCAAGACCGAACCAAAGCTACTCCACAGTCACATCAGAAGGAAAACAACAATGAAAGAACAGATATTGAAACTTAGAACAGGCAAGGACTGGTATACAGAGAATGACAAAGAGGTGTGTGAAGAACTCAACAAGAGGTTCCAGGAGGTCTTCACAACAGAACAAGGTGAGGTCACTGTGCTAGGAGAAAGGGAAGTAAACCAAGCAGCCTGGAAAGGGTTCGAAATTACGAGAGTGAAGGTCAAGAGACATCTGCTAGATCTGCATGTTAGAAAGGCCGTTGGTCCAGACGGGATCTCGCCATGGGTACTGAAAGAGTGTGCAGAGGCACTTTGCATGCCACTCTCCATAGTGTACAGTAGGTCACTGGAGACGGGAGACCTAATAGAAATATGGAAGACCGCGAACGTGGTCCCAATATACAAAAAGGGCGACAGGCAAGAGGCACTGAACTACTTGCTAGTGTCCTTGACTTGTATACCATGCAAGGTGATGGAGAAGATTGTGAGAAAAAATCTAGTATCACATCTGGAGAGAAGGGACTACGTGATAAATCGCCAACATGGATTCAGGGAGGGTAAATCTAGCCTGACTGGCTTAAAAGACTTCTACGATCAGGTGACAAAGATTAAGCAAGAAAGAGAGGGCTGGGCGGACTGCATTTTCTTGGATTGTCGGAAAGCCTTTGACACAGTACCGCATAAGAGGCTGGTACATAAGCTGGAGAGACAGGCAGGTGTAGCTGGGAAGGTGCTCCAGTGAATAAGGGAGTACCTAAGCAATAGGAAGCAGAGAGTTACGGTGAGGGGTGAGACCTCCGATTGGCTTGAAGTCGCCAGTGGAGCCTCACAGGGCTCTGTACTCGGTCCTAACTGGTTTCTGATATATGTAAATGATCTCCCGGAGGGTACAGATTCACTTCTCTCAATGTTTGCGGACGATGCCAAAATTATGAGAAGGATTAAGACAGAAAAGGCTGTTTGAGGCTTCAAAAAGACCTAGACAAGCTGAAGGAATGGTCGAACAAATGGTTGTTAGAGTTTAACCCAACCAAATGTAATGTAATGAAGATAGGTGTAGGGAGCAGCAGGCCAGATATAAGGTATCATTTGGAAGATGAAATACTTCAAGAGTCAGAGAGAGAGAGAAAGACCTGGGGGTTGATATCACGCCAGACCTGTTCCCTGAAGCTCATATCAAGAGGATAACATCAGCAGCATATGCCAGGTTGGCTAACATAAGAACGGTCTTTAGAAACTAGTGTAAGGAATCTTTCAGAACATTATATACCACATATGTCAGACCAATCCTGGAGTATGCGGCTCCAGCATGGAGTCCATATCTAGTCAAGCATAAGACTAAACTGGAAAAGGTTCAAAGGTTTGCCACCAGACTAGTACCCGAGCTGAGAGGTATGAGCTACGAGGAGAGACTACGGGAATTAAACCTCACTTCGTTGGAAGACAGAAGAGTTAGGGGGGACATGATCACCACAATCAAGATTCTCAAGGGAATCGACAAGGTTGATAAAGACAGGCTATTTAACACAAGAGGCACACTCACTAGGGGACACAGGTGGAAACTGAGTGCCCAAATGAGCCGCAAAGATATTAGAAAGAACTTTTTTAGTGTCAGAGTGGTTGACAAATGGAATGCATTAGGAAATAATGTGATGGAGGCTGACTCCATACACAGTTTCAAGTGTAAATATGATAGAGCCCAATAGGCTCAGGAACCTGTACACCTGTTGATTGACGGTTGAGAGGCGGGACCAAAGAGCCAGAGCTTAACCCCCGCAAGCACAACTAGGTGAGTACAACTAGGTGAGTACATACACACACACACACACACACACACATGCTGGGGCTGCATACTCCAGGATTGGCCTGACATATGTGGTATACAAAGTTCTGTATGATTCCTTACACAAGTTTCTGAATGCCGTTCGTATGTTGGCCAGCCTGGCATATATGCCGCTGATGTTATCCTCTTGATATGGGCTGCAGGAGACAGGTCTGGCGTGATATCAACTCCCAAGTCTTTTTCTTTCTCTGATCCCTGAAGAATTTCCTCTCTCAGATGATACCTTGTGTGTGTGTGTGTGTACTCACCTAGTTGTACTCACCTAGTTGTGATTGCGGGGGTTGAGCTCTGGCTCTTTGGTCCCGCCTCTCAACCGTCAATCAACAGGTGTACAGGTTCCTGAGCATATTGGGCTCTATCATATCTACACTTGAAACTGTGTATGGAGTTAGTTAGTAGTTAGAAACAGTTGATTGATTGACAGTTGAGAGGCCGCCGAAAGAGTAATGGTAATGAAGTGGAGGATAGGGGCAGACAGATTCATTACAAATGACAAGGAAGTGTGTGAGGAACTGAATGAGGAATTCCAAGAGGTCCTGACATTGGAGCAAGGAGAAGTTCCAGAGATAAGAGAGGGAATTGTTAACCAGGAATCACGAGAAGCGTTTGAGATTACAAGTTGTGATGTGAGGAAGCTTTTGCTAGAGTTTGATGTGACAAAGGCTATAGGCCTGGATGGAATCTCCCCTTGGATACTAAGCGAAGGAGCAGAAGCACTGTGCCTGCCACTCTCCATAGTGTATAACAAATTACTGGTAACAGGGGAACTGCCACAAATTTGGAAAACGGCTAATATAGTCCCAGTTTACAAGAAGGGGGATATACAAGAGGCACTGAATTACTGGAAAGTGTCCCTAACTTGCACAAAATGCAAGCTGATAGAGAAGATTGTGCGAAAAAACTGGTGGAACATTTGGAGTGAAAGAACTTTGTAACACAGCATCAACATGGGTTCAGGGATGGCAAGTCCTGCCTCACAGGATTAATTAAATTCTACGACCAGGCAACAAAAATCAGGCAGGAAAGAGAAAAGTGGGAAGACTGCATATTTTTGGAATAACAGAAAAACTTTGATGCAGTTCCAAACAAGTAAGTAAGTAATTATCAAAAAAAGGCACCAAACCGGGAAACAGTACCACACAAGAGGCTAGTGAAAAGCTGGAGATGCAGGCAGGAGTGAAAGTGAAGGAACTCCATTGAATAAGGGAGTACCTTAGCATCAGAAGACAGCAAGTCACTGTGAGGGGTGAGGCCTCAGATTAGCGAGACGCCACCAGTGAAGTCCCGCAGGGCTCAGTCCTTGGACCTATACTGTTTCTGATATATGTAAATGATCTCACAGTGGGTATAGAATCGTTCCGCTCATTGTTTGCTGATGATGCAAAAATTAGGAGTAGGATTAGAAGAGAGGATGATAGTAGGAGGCTACAAGATGACCTAGAGAGACTGAATGAGAACTCCAACAAATGGCTACTAAAATTCAACCCGAGTAAATGCAAGGTCATGAAGCTAGGCGGTGGAAACAGGTGGAGAGACACAGGATACCGAAAGGGAAATGAAGTACTTCATAAAACGGAGAGAGAGAAAGATGTAGGAGTCGATATCACGCCAAACTGGTCTCCTGAACCCCACATCAAAAGAATAACATCAGCGGCCTATGCGAGGCTGGATAACATCACAGCTGACTTCAGAAACCTGTGTAAGGAATTTTTCAGAACATTGTATACCACATATGTAAGACCAATCCTGGAGTATGCGGCCATTACATTGAGCCCGTACCCTGTCAAGCACAAGACGAAGCTGGAAAAAGTTCAGAGGTATGCTACTAGGCTAGTCCCAGAACTGAAGTATGAGTTACGTGTAAAGGCTGCGTGAACGGCACCTCACATTGCAGGAAGACAGAAGAGCTCGGGAGACACATGATCACCACATACAAAATCCTCAGTAGAATTGACAGGTTCGACAAGGAGGGATTATTTAACATGGATGGTACACGCACAAGGGGGCACAGGTGGAAGCTTAGTACCCAAATGAGCCACAGAGACATTAGAAAGAACTTTTTTAGTGTCAGAGTAGTTAGTAAATGGAATGCACTAGGAAGTGATGTAGTGGAGACTGACTCTATACACAGTTTAAAATGTTATATGATGGAGCACGAGAAGCTCAGTAATGTGTAGACCAGTAGATTGACGGTTGCGAGACAGGACCAAGGAGCCGAAGCTCGACTCCCGCAAGCACAACTAAGTGAGTACATCTTAATACAGTCAACTGCAGAGTGTTTGTATCGTTATGCAGCCCGTTCTCGCGAGCGTTCTAACGTCAAGAGACTGTCGTACTATGGCTTATCCTAACCTACCTGAGATCCCAGAAAAAGAAAATGGGATTGTGTGTGAATTTCACGAGCCGCTACCATTTTCTACTACGACAGGTTTTGGCTTATGGTAAAATATACGTCAAAGTGCAACGTGTTATTGGGAGGACGGGTTGACGATGTGTGGTGTTTTTAAAGGGATGAATGTGTCAAGTTATGTATCTTTGTGTGTTCCGTGCATCAATGTGTCCAACACCAGAGTTCACGTAACACTTACAATTCTAATCATGTTCTGACAGGAAGGACTGCCGCCCACGAGGCCGCGCTCCTGGGATGTTCCGCCGTTGCAGCAGTCATTGACGGTGAGACAAGAATGCTTCTTTTCCCTAAAGCTTCCTTCCCAAGTGTAGAATACATGAAATATAGAGAAGATCAGTATTATGAGGCGAATCTGGCATCCATTAATGACACTTGTGTCATGTTTCTCTTTTACTTAACAATTCCCGTGTCTTTCCACCTGGGCAGATAAGCTGGCAGAGTGTTCGAGGTGTCCCAATCGCTGTGTGAGATGTCCTGTTGGGACAATGGACTACGTCGACAGGTTAGGACTACAGGGAGGTCATCGCAGTCTGCCCTCTGGTGTGGTGGGCAATACAACCCGGCTACCCTGCCCTGCTTCCGGTTATGTCACCTGGACTTGTTCTGAGAACGGCAGCTGGGTACGCAGGTGAGGTTACTACGTACTCACCTAGTTGTACTCACCTAGTTGTGCATGTGGGGGTTGAGCTCTGGCTCTTTGGTCCCGCCTCTCAACCGTCAATCAACAGGTGTACAGGTTCCTGAGCCTATTGGGCTCTATCATATCTACACTTGAAACTGTGTATGGAGTCAGCCTCCACCACATTACTTCCTAATGTATTCCATTTGTCAACCACTCTGACACTAAAAAAGTTCTTTCTAATATCTCTGTGGCTCATTTGGGCACTCAGTTTCCACCTGTGTCCCCTAGTGCGTGTGCCCCTTGTGTTAAATAGCCTGTCTTTATCTACCCTGTCGATTCCCTTGAGAATCTTGAATGTGGTGATCATGTCCCTCCTAACTCTTCTATATTCCAGCGAAGTGAGGTTTAATTCTCGTAGTCTCTCCTCGTAGCTCATATCTCTCAGCTCGGGTAGTAGTCTGGTGGCAAAACTTTGAACCTTTTCCAGTTTAGTCTTATGCTTGACTAGATATGGACTCCATGCTGGAGCCGCATACTCCAGGATTGGTCTGACATATGTGGTATATAATGTTTTGAAAGATTCCTTACACAAGTTTCTAAAGGCCGTTCTTATGTTAGCCAACCTGGCATATGCTGCTGATGTTATCCTCTTGATATGAGCTTCAAGGGACAGGTCTGGCGTGATATCAACCCCCAGGTCTTTCTCTCTCTCTGACTCTTGAAGTATCTCATCTCCTAAATGATACCTTGTATCTGGTCTCCTGCTTCCTACCCCTATCTTCATTACATTACATTTGCTTGGGTTAAACTCTAACAGCCATTTGTTCGACCATTCCTGCAGCTTGTTAAGGTCTTCTTGAAGCCTCAAGCTGTCCTCCTCCCCTGTCTTAATCCTTCTCATAATTTTGGCGTCGTCAGCAAACATTGAGAGGAATGAGTCTATACCCTCTGGGAGATCATTTACGTATATCAGAAACAGGATAGGTCCAAGCACAGAGCCCTGTGGGACACCACTGGTGACTTCACGCCATTCTGAGGTCTCACCCCTCACTGTAACTCTCTGCTTCCTATTGCTTAAGTACTCCCTTATCCACTGGAGCGCCCTACCTGTTACTCCTGCCTGTTTCTCCAGCTTATGCATCAACCTTTAATGGGGTACTGTGTCAAAGGCTTTCCGACAGTCCAAAAAAATGCAGTCCGCCCATCCTTCTCTTTCTTGCTTAATCTTTGTCACCTGATCGTAGAATTCTATCAAGCCTCTAAGGCAAAATTTACCCTTCCTGAACCCATGTTGATGGGTTGTCACGAAGTCTCTTCTCTCCAGATGTGTTACTAGGTTTTTTCTCTCTCCATCTTCTCCATCACCTTGCATGGTATACAAGTTAAGGACACTGGCCTGTAGTTCAGTGCCTCTTGTCTGTCACCCTTTTTGTATATTGGTACTACATTAGCAGTCTTCCATATTTCTGGTAAGTCTCCCGTTTCCAGTGACCTACTATACACTATGGAGGGTGGCAAGCAAAGTGCTCCTGCACACTCTTTCAATACCCATGGTGAGATTCCGTCCGGCCCAATAGCTTTTCTCACATCCAGCTCCAATAGGTGCTTCTTGACCTCATCTTTTGTAATTTCGAACCTTTCCAAGGTCACTTGGTTTGCTGCCACCTCTCCTAGCGCCGTGACTTTTCCCTGTTCTATTATAAAGACCTCCTGGAACCTTTTGTTGAGTTCTTCACACACCTCTTTGTCATTCTCTGTGTACCTGTCTTCGCCCACCCTAAGTTTCATCACCTGTTCCTTTACTGTTTTCTTCCTCCTGATGTGACTGTGTAGTAGCTTTGGTTCGGTCTTGGCTTTATTAGCTAAATCATTTTCATACCTTTTCTCAGCTGCTCTTCTCACACTAACATACTCGTTCCTGGTTCTCTGGTATCTCTCTCTAAAAGTTGAAGGGACGACGACGTTTCGGTCCGTCCTGGACCCTTCTCAAGTCGATTGTGATGAGGACAGGTAGGGACAGGCAATAAATAGGCAAGAGAAAGCTGAGGAGGAAAGTAAGGTGTAGGGGATAGTAGTAATAATGAGAACTGCAGAAGGCCTATTAGCCCATACGAGGCAGCTCCTATTATAACCACCGAAGGAGATAGTAATAGGAATAAGAAGAGGATAGCAAGGGAGCGTAGAAGACAATGCACAGAAAAAGGGTGAAGAGAGCAAGAAAGAGAAAAAGAAAGAGAAATGGAAGGGGTAAGCTTATGTTAAGTCACGTTTGTTAGAAAGATTAGAGCATTTGAGTATATACTGTGAAAGGGAAGAGTCCACAGCAACAAAGCCTGGACTCAAGTTCATGTTGGGTACATTGTGTACAAGACGGGGTCTGTGTAGAGTAGAGGCAGGAAAGATTATTTTGGAGGAAGACCAATCAATGGGATGATTAGAATCCCTCACATGGCAGAAGAGAGCATTGTTAGTGTCTGCAGACTTAACACTTCTCTTGTGTTCCTTAAGTCTGTCATTCAGTGTACGGCCAGTTTCGCCAAAGTATTGGAGAGGACAAGATGAACAGGAAATAGAGTAGACACCAGCAGCATTAGAAGCAGGAGGAGCAGTGTGAACTAGATTACTACGAAGTGTGTTAGTTTGTCGAAAGGCGAGTTTAATGTCAAGAGGACGAAAGGTATTGGTAAAAGTTTTGAGTTCAGATATGAAGGGAAGGCATAGTACAGTGCTACTAGTGTTGGAAGCAGGTTTAGGATGAAAGAAATTTCGTTTAGCTTGAGAGTAGGCACAGTTAATGAAATGCAAAGGATAACCAAGGCGAGAGAATGATTTGTAGATAAAGGCAATTTCAGAATCAAGAAACTGAGGGTCGCTGATGCGTAGAGCGCGGAGGAAGAGAGAGACGAGGACACTTTTCTTAACAGAAGGAGGATGGTAGGAAAAGAAGTGAATGTACATGCCACTATGAATGGGTTTACGGTAGACAAAGAAAGAGAACCCAGACACAGAGCTGTGAACATGAACATCAAGAAAAGGAAGGAGGGGAATTAGAATCCCACTCAACTTTGAAATGGATAGAAGGAGCCAGATTGTTAAGAGAGGCGAGGAAAGGCTGGAAAAGATTAATGTCATGAGGCCATAAAGCAAAAATGTCATCAACATAGCAAAGCCAGAGAGAGGGACGAGTATCAATAGAAGGAAGAAGAACAGTTTCGAAGTATTCCATGTAGAAATTAGCAAGAACAGGGGAGAGAGGGGAACCCATAGCGACACCGAAAGTTTGAGTGTAATATTTACCGTTGAAAGAGAAAGAGTTAGATTCAACACAGAGTCTAATGAGATCGAGGAAAACGTCAGTGGGAAGTGGGAGAGGAAGGAGGCCCTCTGACGCCTTCTGTCTAAGGAAAGAGAGAACGTCATCGAGCGGAACATTAGTGAACAGAGAGTCGACATCAAGACTAAGCATCTTACAAGAGGGTTGCAGGCGCAGTCTTTCTATGAAGTCCAGAGAGTGACGAAGGTGGGCAGGGGAAAAACGTCGTCGTCCCTTCAACTTTTAGTGTGTGGTCTGGTCAACATACTTCAGCCACGTTATTGTGACTCATCGCCTGCATATCTCTCTCTACTTTCTGGTGTTCTGTTATTACGGAAGTTCCTCCATGCCCTTTTGCTCAGCTCCATTGCTTTCATACATTCCCTATTAAACCATGGATTCTTCCTTTGCTTCTCTGTTTTTTCCTGTCGGGCTGGGACAAACCTGCTTACAGCCTCCTGACATTTTTGGGTGACATAGTCCATCATGCCTTGTACGGACTTGGTTCCGAGTTCTGTATCCCAATGTATATCCCATAGGAATTTATTCATCTCCTCATAGTTTCCCTTTCGGTACGCCAGCCCTTTGTTTCCCAGTTCTTCTTTGGGGGTAATAATTCCTAGCTCAACCAGGTACTCAAAGATCAATACACTATGATCACTCATTCCCAAGGGGGCTTCCAACTTAACTTCCCTTATATCCGATTCATTTAGGGTAAATATCAGATCAAGCAAGGCTGGTTCATCCCCTCCTCTCATTCTTGTTGGTCCCTTGACGTGTTGACTTAGAAAGTTTCTTGTTGCCACATCCAGTAGCTTAGCTCTCCATGTGTCTGGGCCTCCATGTGGGTCTCTGTTCTCCCAATCTATCTTCCCATGGTTGAAATCTCCCATAATTAGTAGTCTGGATCCGTTCCTGCTAGCCACAGAAGCTGCTCTCTCTATTATATTGATGGTGGCCAAGTTGTTTCTATCATATTCCTGTCTGGGTCTTCTGTTATTCGGTGGGGGGTTATATATGACTACTACTATAATTTTCTGTCCTCCAGTTGCTATGGTGCCTGATATGTAGTCACTGAAACCTTCACAGTTCTGAATTACCATCTCTTCCAAACTCCAACCTTCTCTTCGTAGCAAAGCTACACCACCTCCTCCTCTCCCTTCTCTCTCTTTCCTCACTACATAGTAGCCCTGTGGAAACACTGCATTTGTTATAGGTTTCTTTAACTTTGTTTCTGTGAGTGCTATTATGTCTGGGTTTTCTTCTAGTGCCCATTCTCCGAGTTGACTTGTTTTATTTGTAATCCCATCTATGTTAGTGTACATTGCCTTGAAGCTCACTTTCTTCTGTTCATTTTCTTAACCCATTCTTGGCGAGCATTCTGCTGGTGTGGGAAGCGGTTCCGTGGGGTGAGAAGATCTGTGAGGTGGTTTGCAGGGTCTCAGAGGATTCTGGGGTGGGGGGTAGGGGTTTAAGGGAAGGGGGGACAAGTAGGGTGTGGGTTAAGGAGATAGGGGGGACATGGAGGATACAGGGTGAGGGGGAGGGAGGGATAGGGAGGTATGGGATAAAGGGGAAGGGGAGACGGGGGGGGGGGAAAGGTGGGAGGGGAGACATGACGGGAATGAGGAAGGGGTGACATGGTCAGAATAGGGTGGGGGGGGGAGGGAGGGTTGGGATGGCAGGTAGGGTG